GGGCTGAGCTGGCCACACACACACATAAATAAATAAATTAAAAAAAAAAAAAAAAGAACCTTCTGTTAGTTTAAAAAAAAAAAAAGACAATTATGAATATAACCCAGATGACATTTGGGGCTGTTTTCTTTTGGAATTATGAATGGTAGGTACACTATGGGAAAGGTACCTCTATCACTTGCTTCTTTGTAACTAAAAATAAAACCCCTCCTGCAAAAGAGCCTTCTTTTGCATCATTCTGCTTTTCTGATGTATTTTTGGTTTTTTTGTTGTTGTTATTGTTTTTTATTTTGTACAGGGTCTCACTACACAGATCAGACTCATAGTGATCCTCCTGTTTACAGCCTCCCAGGTGCTGGGATTACAGGCATGCGTCACCACGCCCAGTCTTGCTCACCATCTCAGGGCACCCCGTGGACAGGGCCGGCTCGGCAGACCTGGGAATTGAATCCCTGGCCCATGCATCTGCCTAAGCAGACACTTTAATCCACTGAGCTATTTGGCTGGCCCTTCTGATATATTTCTAATTCCCACCTCTCTGCAGTCCTGTGATCCTCACTTAAACTTAGACTCTTAGTTCATCCTCCAATGAAAAATCTCTCTGATATCGTTCACCTTTTTTAAAAATTTGTTTCTTTTTGGAAAAAGATCTCCCTGTGTAATCCAAGATGATGGGGAACTTGTTAGTCACCCAAGCTGGCCTCAAATTCACAATCCTGCTGCAGTCTCCCAAGCGTTGTGAATACAGGTGTGTGCCACTAATCCCAGATTCCTTTACCCTTCAAAACAACTTGAGGGGACTGGGGAGATAGCTCCGTAGGCCTGAGGTCAATCCCTGGTTCCGCCAAAACAGAAAATAAATAAATAAAAAATAAAAAAACAACTTGAGATTGACCTAGTCCAAGAAATATTTTTTCTAATTAGCATCAATTATAAATAAAACACTGATCTCAACATTTCACTAGATTCATCTCAGGGCACCTTCTAACTTCACGTGGACACGTATCCATCCAGATCAACAACCTTAGTGAGCACTTGCATACTCACAACACTCACAACTTTGTCTTTCTGTGTTCCAGAAGCTAATTTCCAACAGATTTAGCCACATACACCTAAAATTGAATTTAGTATCTTAAATACCCTATGTCCTTTTACCAGTTTTTTCTCTTTAACATTTAGATTTCAACCAAAAATCTCAAACCTGTCAGACCATTCCTCTCTCTCACCCTTCATTTGAGCATTCAGATACTCATTCAGGAAACGTTACACAGGCATGGTGCCACAGGCCTGCAATCTCAGCATGCTGGAAAACTAAGGCTTTCAGAAAGGATCAAAGTTTGAGCTCAGTCAGAGGAATTTAGTAACTTGATGAGATTTTCTCTCAAAATGGAAAATTTTAAAATAAAGGGGTAGGAATGCAGCTGAGTGCAAAAACCCCAGTAATGAGAAGGAAGGTAGGAAGAAAGGAAGAAAAGAAGGAAGGAAGGAAGGAATTTATGCCCAGTGTGGGGGCTTGCCTGTAACCCCAAGCACTCTGGGAGGCTGAAGCACGAGAACTGTCTCAAATTTGAGGCTAAACTACACAGTGAGTTTCAGGCAAACCTTAACTACATAACAAGACCCTATCTAAAATAAATAAATAAACCTGGTGTGGTAACACACACCTGTAATCCCAGCACTTGGGAGGCTGAGGCAAAAGATCACAAATTCAAGTTCAGCCTGAGCTACACAGTAAAACCCTGTCTCCAGCCCCCCAACCCCCAAAAAGAAAGAAAGACATGAAGCAGAGGGTGATATAGAAGCCTCAGGCATAGCTTAGCACACCATTCGGCTCTAGTCATGCCAGCTCTTCATCAGGACAGCAAGGTCTATCCTTTCAATCGCACTGCCTAAATGAGAGAGACACACTGGCGCTCATCCTCTCATGCATTCATTCAACAAACATCTGTTTTGTCTACTGCATTCCAAGGACTGCACATACTCTAGCAAGTAAAACTCAGTCCTTGCCTTCATGGGGTTTACATTTGTGGGGAGGGGGGTTAGAATAAACAAATACGTGCACCTGTCGGGTAATGACAAGGCCACGAAGTGACACAAGGGAAGGGAAACCTTTAGGTACAGCTGTTTCCAAGAATGCCTTTCTTCACTTCCCATGAAGCATTCCAAAACACAAATTATTCACTGGAAACACTCAACCCAGGTGTGGTGACACGAAGCCTGTACCCCCAGCACTCGGAAGGCTTGAAGCACTGCCTGCCACCAACACTTTAAAGCCAGCCTGAACGGCATGGCAAGATCCTGTCTCAAAAAACAAAGTCAACATTCAATGAAGACCTAAGTGCTAGACACTAAACAGGTCCTGGAAACAAAAGAGAATTAAGTCGTTGCTGCAAACTTTAAGAAGTCCACAGTCCAAATAGGAGAACGAGTTTACTTAACAAACATTTACCTAACACTGTCAGGCACTATACTCTGGGCTTTGCAAAAAGCAACCTTTCACAGCGAGCACGCATATGTACACTGAAGCACAGAGCTGTAATAACAGGCCTGTGCTCCCACACCAAGCTACCGGCAGGGCCAGGGTTTGGATCCATACCCCTAAACACTATGGTCTAGGTTAAGCCACAAAAGCATCAAAAAACAATCTCCCGAGCCGAGGAGATGGCTCAGTGGAATAAGCACTTCCCTAGCAAGCACAAGGGCCTGGGTTCAGTTCCGCCAGAAAAACAAAAAATCTCCCAGCGGGGCTTAGTGACACACACTTGAAATCCCAGTACTCAGTACCCTGGGTGGGGGTTGGGAGGGGTGGGGGAGGAGAAGCACAAGTTCGAGCCCACTGTGGGTAACTCAACGACTTCGAGGAACCTTGTCTCAAAATTACGAGAAAAAAGCAACTCCCAAGACAAAACCACAGAGATAAAAAGATAGAGGTGCTCATGGGGGGGAGGGGGCTGAGAGAAGAAAACACTTCTTAGAGAAAAGCATGCTGAATCTGGATTTGGAAACACTACACATGTTTTTCAGGTCAGAGAACCGTCCATCCAGGAGAGAGCCTCTTGTACAGCGGCCTCTCCTGGAAGACAGCCTGTGGTATCCTTTCAGCTACAGGACGGCTACTGTCTAATCTATCTTCAGGCGCTGCCAGCACTCAGAACACCAGTGGGTGTGTTCAACAACTCGTGGAAGGCCGAGGATACAGCTGCCTGGCAAGCGCAAGGTCCTGAGTTCGATTCCCGGTACCAAAAAAAAAAATAAAAAATTTAAAAAACCAGCCTTGCGGAATGCCAGGGAACTAGTGTCTGGACAACTCAGCACACGGAATTCTGAGAGGAACAGCGAGCCTCATCACCCCTGCCCCGCCTCCGAGATCCCAAACCCCGAATCTCCTAAACCTGGCCAATGCTGGCCCCCCGCAAGCCATCCAGGGGGTGCGCCGAGTCCGAAGGAGCCTCCCCGTCGGCCCCCGTCCGACCACCACCCCTGCCGCCGCCCCCGACACACTGGACCCGCGGGGCCGCCCTCGGGTTACCACTACCTCCGGGCAAGAGCAGCGAGGCCGAGGCGGCGGCGGCTTGAGTGACTGGGATGAAGGGCACGTTGAAGCTGAACTCCGTGGCCGAGGAGGAGAAGAGTAAGTTGGTACTCGACAAGGAGGTGGAAGCGCTGCCGCTACCACCGTTAATTTTCCTCTCGGCCATGGCTGCGGGTCACCGTCCGTTACACGTCTACTGGAAGCCGGTGCAGTACCACCGGCCGGAAACCAGTCACCGCTGGGTCAGCGCACTTCCGCACTTGCGCACAGACGCCGAAACCCCGGGGGCGGGTCCAGAGCCATTTTTTTTTCCCCAATCCGCGCCGCCCGAAACCAACATGGCGAAACTAGCTTCACGCCCGAACCTAGCACGTGACATTCTCCGCGGCTGCGCAAGCTCAGTTTGAGACCGAAGGACCTAAGCAGGGGAAAGACCGTGGGGGTGTGGCCGCTGCTCTTACTGGAACCGAGCACAACTTCATGCTCAGAGTCCTGGATTGAAGGGAGAAAAGGGCTCTGGGCTTCTCGAAAGCAGGGACAGTACAGTTTAACTGTCAGACTTTGGAGGTGCAATGGAAGTCCACAGGAGCAGGTAAAGGAGTGAGGAAAAAGTGGAGGCAGCAGCAGCCAAGGTGGAGCCAAATTCACCTATTGAACCGGCAGGTCTTTCTGGACTACTCAGAACTTTTGTCGTCGTCCCAGGTATAGTAATAGTAAAACTTTTTAAAGCTTTTAAGTCACGAGGAGAAGAACAAATTTTAACCCATGGGATTGAAATTTAAGGACGTGACTTTAGCTCAGCCCAGTGATGCACACGCTGTAAAGTCAGCAACTCTGGATGCTGAGTCAAGGGGACAATACAAGACCAGCCTGGACCGCAAGACACGAGGGGGTAGGGACCTGGGACTCAGCACTCTGAGTTCAGTCCCGAATCCCCCCACCCAAGAAAAAGATGGCGATATTTAAAATAACTTTGTAAAATAAATTTTTAAAAAAGCTTTATATATGTCCACAGCTCCACAGTAGTCTAGTTCCACCCATAAATTGGATATAATTGAAAGGAAAAACAAGCAGGTGCAGTGAGGCACACCTGTAGTATCAGCTACTCCAGAGGGTTAGTCAGGAGAATAGAGAATTGGAGGCCAGCCAAGGCAATTTAGCGCCTGCCTCAAAAATCTAACAAAAATACCATAAGCAGTTCTATAGCTTTTTAGTAGGTGGGAGAGAAAGACCCCTAATTAAGTCTTGAAATAATTAAACACCTCTCTAGAGATTACACCTATATAGAATGCAAATCTGTATAATGAAATCACTGTTTACTATACTTACTGTTAGATTTTAAAAGCTAAATGCTATACCATGAGGACAGATTGTATACCAGGCCTGGTGGTGTATACCTATAATCCCATAGGGAGGATGAGACAAGAGAGATCACCATGAGTTTGAGGACAGCCTGGGCTATATAGTGAGTTCACAGCTAGCCTGAACTACCTAGTGAGAACTGTCTCAAAAAGCTAAATAAATAAGATTTTATTTACAAGAACTACTGAAAAAGGAAAGAAAGTCCATCTGGAACTAAAGTAAATTTTGCTGAAACAAAAGATTGAAGACTTTCCAGTCCTGTCACCCAGGAGGATAGGGAAATCCCAGCACTCTGAGGAAGATTGTAAATTCAAGACAGCCCAAGCTACATTTCAGATTTCAAAACCAAGGTGGTCATTATTATCGTTTATGTCCAGGTGTCCCCCCAAAGCCTCATGCAGTCAAGGGACAGCTTCTGGAGTTTGTGACTATTGAGGGTGTGGCTGCTGCACCTGCCCTGGTAATTTGCATTACAGTGTGAGGAGGGGAAAGAGGCTAGCTAGCTGCCTGAGCTGCTGCCACAAAAGGCTGCTCCCTGCCATGTGCCACTCTGCCTTGGAGCCAGCCGAGTATGGACTGAAACCTCAGTAACTGTGAGCTAAATAAACCTTTCCTTCCCTCATTTTGAGTGTCAGATATTTGTCCCCGCAACAAAAGAAGAGTAACTGAGACAGTCAATACAGTAAGACCCCTTTAAAAAAAGATCCCAATTGGAAAAAAAGAGGAAAAGAAAATATATCAACTCCTGGTCCATAGAAATTGACTCCTGGGCATAAATTGAAAATTATTCCAGCTCTGACAACACAATTTTCATGGCTAGTTCAAACTGTCTTTGGTTAAGCCTCTGGAAAAATAACTCCTCAGGACCACATTCCTCCTTGGCCCTGGCTTTGTCCTCTATGAAATTTCTCTTGGGTCATGATGGTCCATGGCCATATCTGAAGTGGCATTGAAAAGTGTCTTCTATGGGATCTGTACAGTTTTGGCAGCTAATTCTCAGCTAGTACAAGTTTAGGATTCAAGATTTACCTCAGTCCTTTTCAATTTTTTTATAGTACATATTTGCTGTACCTAATAATTATATTCATCACAGGGAGTTAGTACATGTGCATCTCCCTTACCCACCTGGCTCAAGTCTTGAATAGTTGCTGGCTTTTCAGAGCAAGTTCTTGGTATCTCATTTCTGGCTAGAACCATGGTCTTCACTTGCTCTTCTGACCCATTTTATTCTGCTCAGAATAATGGGTTCATTTGAGCATAGCTGAAATGGTAGCCTCAAGTGAGAGTCCCTTGCCTGGCCTTTGCTACAAGGATGGATTCTTTGGTTTCCCTGAAAATGTGAAAGGACCTTTGAAAATTCCTTTGAAGCTGGCCACGGAAACACATCCCAGCTGTTCAGAAGGCTGGGATAGAAGGAGCCAGAGGTTGACACTACCCTGCATTTACCACCTATGGAATGAATACTAAATTGGTTGAGTTTTCTTTTTTCTTTTTTTTTTTTTTTTTTTTTGGCAGAACTGGGGATTGAATTCAGACCCTTGAGCTTGCCAGGCAAGCACTTATTCTACTGAGCTATCTCTCTGGCCCCTGGTTGACTTTTCTTAATACTTTAAAGCCCCAATTTTTCCTGTTTACCCAGTCTGGCTGTCATAAGCTATTGTGGCAACTGAAAACTAAAAATGGTAACTATCTGAACTGATAGGTGCTATAAAATTGAGATTTCATGACATTTCATGAAATTTCAATGATTCAGTTTAAAAAATACAATATACCATTAATTTCACATTGATTATTTTATTTTGACATCTTAAAATTCAACTAGTTTTGTTATGTTGGGTTAAGAATATTATTAAAATGAATACATGCAGGCAATCCCAGGACTAAGGGGGCAAAGATCACACATTCAAAGCCAGCCAAATATCTACATAACCAGACACTGCTTTAAAAAAAAAAAAAAAAAAAAAAGGCTATAGCTCAGTGTAAAGAGTTCTTACCTAGCATGCATGAGGCTCTAGCAAGCATCTATTCTTAGCACCACACATACAAAAACAAAACAAAAAACTACCATTAAAAAAGTCTCAAGCATTTCGTGAGGTCTTTATTTCCTCATAAAGGATCCAGTGTCACATAAAACATATACCATGGCTGGGTACAGTGGCACCTATAATCCCAGCTGCCTCAGATGGTGAGGCAGGAGGATTGTAATTTGGAGAACAGCGAGAGGCAACCTGGTGAGGTTCTTCTCACAAACAAACGTAGCTCAGTGGCAAGGGATCCCTGGGTTCATTCACCAGTAATGAGGTGTGGGGCAGGTACCATGAACTCAGAAAGGAAAGGTATTTTTTGTTGCCCACACTTGCCACTGCTGAGTGATAGCAAGCTGAAATTCAGATAAAGAAAATTTGAAAATTAATGATTTAAAATCAGACATTTTCACATCATAACTTTAATTCACATATAAATGGATACAACTAAAACATGGAATTTCCATCATTCAACAACACTCTCTGCTAAATGAATGAATGACTGCAGTAGTCCTACTATCATTGTGGTGGATCAAATAATGGTCAACTTGTAACATCTGGCTGAATTGAAGCAGAATGGTTCTGGGTATGGAAGGTCCTCCTTTTATGCTAACAGCGTAAAAGAAGAACAGAAGAAGATGGTGTGCTTTTGGTCCTCCTGAAGAGGTTTGTCATGCTGGCTTTGTTGATAATGAATTGGGCAGTTTGCACTGTCAAAAGGAGTTCTGGTCCTCACTGTTGCTGAGGATGGCTACGGCTGTTTCCAGGGAGCTCTGGTTCTTACCTTGAGCCTCACTTTCTGGCTCCAGTGTAGATCCCTCAGCCTGCTTCCACCACTGAACTTTGGGCCTTGACATGAAGATCCTCTATACAGACTTGCATGACACATTGTTGTGGGCTCTAGGCCTCCAGTTGGACTAATAGAAGACACTGTCAAGGGCTCTAGGTCTTCAGGACACTGATGTGGGATCCAGGTGGTCAGCTGGATTCTTTGGGTCTCTAGTATGTGGACAGATCTCTTATAGTCTTCTGCATTTAACTTTTGGGTAAATATTATAAAATAATCCTAGAAATTATGTGTCCTGTATTAAATCCATTCCCTTGTAAGTCCTGAAGACCACAATCAAATTCTTCCCAGATTACCCAAACTCACAAGAACCAGATGTAAGACCCAATATGCCAATTCATTCACAATAAGAAATCCAAATTACATCTTTTATCCTGAAATAAACTAGAATATTAGCCCAAAATATATCATGTTGGCATAAAGCTAACCTTGCGCTGAAAGCAACTGAAGATACAAGAAAATTTTAAGATATTATGCACATGTACCAGTTCGCCATGATAAATGTAATCATTACATACTGCACACATGTATGAACAAAGATTTTTAAATTAAAAAGAAAAGATACAAGAAATGCACCTTACACTTTTGCAGTTTGCCTGAAAGTAGGATATAAAATTTTAAAGGTGTCTCTTTTCACCTCTCTGCTTCCAGGAAAGACAAAATTTATGACCAGAGGCAACTTTAGAACCTTACCAAACCAGAGAGCCAAAGAATTCATATAACAGCTATACTAACCAAACTGCCTATAACTAGTTTCCCAAGTTTTTTATCTTCCCAGTTTGCAAGCTTTGGAAGCTGTCACAGGTTTTATCAAGATGTCCTCCCCAAAGTCCCATGCTGTCAGACGTAGGACTTTTGGGAGGTGGCTGGATCCTAAAGTGTGTGATGCTGGAGTTAAGGATGTGATACTAGAATGATGTGATGCTGGAATAAAGGGCACTCCACCCTGGGTGTGGCTGGTACCAGTTACCAGCTTTACACCCTAGATAGAAT